AACCATTCCTCAGTGATGGTAAGGCCTCCCATGAGGAGTCAACTAAACATGGCATATCAAGTTGAGGCAGAACCAAGCCCTTCCCCCATGTATCAAGACTGAACAGGGTATCCCACCATAGGGAATGGGCTCCAAAAAGTCAGCTCATGCACCAGTGATAAATCCTGGTACCACTGCCAGGGACCTCACAAAAATACCAAGCCAAGCAACTGTCACCCACCCACATTCAGAGGGCCTAGTTTGGTCTCAGGAACCATACAGGCTCCACAGCTGTCAATCAAGAGTCAATGAGCTCCCATGAGCTCTGGTCAGTTGTCTCTGTGGGTTTTCACATCATGATCTTGACCTCCCCCCCCCCACCCCCGTTCATACGATCCCTCCTCCCTCCCTTTGACTGGATTTTAGGAGCTTGGCCCAGTGCTTAGTTGCGGATCTCTGCATCGGCTTTGTTCTTTTGTGGGAAGAGGGATGTGAGTTTCTTTTTCTCTACCACACAGAGCAGTGTGTACTATAGAAATAATAACCAAGCAAAGTCGGATCGAGTAGAGTGTCTGGATGCCCAAACTCACCCTGCTCCCTGCAACTATCAGAAAACGCAATGGAGAATCAAGACAAACATATCCATGATATATACCTGCAACCAACCAACCAGCTATCCTAGCACCACAGACATAGCCTAACACACCAGACTGGGCAGAATTGGTGGGTACCATTACCAAAGGTCAGATGGAGCCAAACAAAGAGAGCTCTCTCTAGCAGCTAGCCTGCTAGACTGTGAGCAACAGGTACAGGGTAGGGATGTCCTGCAGAAACCGGGGCAGGCTGACTGAGTGAGAGATGGTGTAAAAGGTGACAGCTAGAAGTTGCACAGGGGAGAAGAACAAAGAAATTCTTTTGTGTCCTCCAGAAAAACAGGCAGCAGTTGTCCACTGCCCAACCCACCTGTCCCACGCCAGCTTTTCTTCTCCTCTCTTAAGAAGCATCCTGGGATACATGGCTTTGCCTGACTTCTGACTTTCTCCCAGAATTCAGGAGGCCATAAAAGACACTAATGCTCAGTTTGGGCTTTAAACAATTACCATAACCATTATTGGCCAAGAGATTTGGGAACACGTGTAGGCATTAATTTGTTTCTTGACATTTTATTGTCGTTGTTGGTCTGGGACAGTACTGACTCTAAGAGCTTGTCCCACTGAGTTATTCATTGTTCAGAACCTACACTGGCTCCCACTGAGTTAATACCATTTTGTATATGAAGAAACCAAAGCCAGGCCTGACACACACATGTAATCTCAGCATTAGGGAATAGAGGCAGAAAGATCACTAGTTCAAGGCCAAGCTTGGATGCATGAGACCTTGTCTCAATCCATACATAAGTGAATGAATAAATAAATAAAATTATCTAGTCTCAAGGATTTTGTTATAGCAACAGAAAACAGTAAGATAGCCATCCATTTCCATCGCCAATAGACATTTGGTCTTCTCAAATTCAGCAGTCTATGAAAAGGAAATTAGTGGGTATCTAAACCCGGTGATCCAGATTGGGGGGGGGGGTTGGGGGCTTGACGGTGTTAGCTAAATAATATGGCTGTGTGTGTTTTGTATGTGTGTGTTGACAAAAGGATTTTTAAAATTACCTGTGTGGATGTGTACACACATCTATCAATATAAAATAATGGATTAAATACTTTTTTTCCATCCTGGCATTAAGTACTGTTTTCCACAGGGTCCTGTGCATGCACTGTGAGCATTCTACTACTGAGCTAGACGCTCAGCTTCAAATTCATTAGGATTTGAAGATTAATTGTGTGACATCTAAATCATATTTTTTTATTTTTATTTTTTGAGACAGGATTTCTTTGCGTAAAAGCCCCTAGCTGACCTGGAATTCACTCTGTGAATCAGGCTGGCCTCGAACTCACAGAGATCTGCCTGCCTCTGCCTTCTGAGTGCTGGGATTAAAGGTATGTGCCACCATGCCCAACTTTTCTAAATCACATTTCAATAATTTTGTTTAAAATAACTCATCTCTAGACTCATCTCCCCACTAAAAAGTTCTCAGACTTGTGAATAAGGAGACTCACTTCAGAAAGAGGAAAGGAACTTACTGTTTATCATCAATGAACACCTATGGGTCACCACCAGGGGGCAGGTAGTGGGCAGTGGAAACAGGATGGATGCGTGTGGACAATACTCCATGCTGTTCTGCTTTGACTTTGGTTCTGATTTGCTATCGTTTGTTTGCTTGCATCATTGAGTCCAGGCTGGTCTGAAATCTACTATATAGCCAAGGATGACCTACATCCCCAGCTCAGTCTGCCTTTTTCTACATATGCAGTTTGCCTTCTGTATCTCCCAGTTCTGAATCTACAGATCCAACCAGTTAGAGATAGAAGAATTCAGAAAAGAATTATCTATACTGAACATATGTGGACTTTGTTTCTGACTAGACCTCACTGTATCGTCCAGGCTGGCCTTGAACTCCCGGCCATCCTGCTCTAGCCTCCCTAAAGCTTGGATTACTGACCTGCACCTCCACGCACATATAGAAACAGACTTCCTTTCCCATCCTTGTTCTCCAAATAATACAGTACAGCAATTATTTAGACAGCATTTACACTGTGCTTCGTATTAGAAGGTACCTAGAGATGACTTAAAGTGTATGAACACAGGCCACCAAATGGGCCAGCAGGCAAAGACACTTGCCACTAGACTGGACACCCAAGTTCAAATCCTGGAATCCTCATGGTTGAGGAGAAAAATCATTTTCTGAAGGTTATCCTTTGAGCTCCCCATGTACAAGCATACCTATAACACACGCACGCACACACACATGCACACACACGTGCACAGTGAAAAGTTATAGCTATGGGAAAATATGTATGTGTTATATGCAAATACCATGACACTTTATATAAGGAACTTGGTGACTACAAAAAGACCTGGAGCCAACCTCCATGGATACCAAAAGATGAGAAGACATACATTTTCTTCCAACCCCATATGCCAGCACATTAAAAAAAAATAAAACTGTCTTAAGCTATACCTAGGAGGTAAAATAACCTTCCTATTTTTAAAATTATCCTTCCTACTTCAATAAAAAAATAATATTCTACCATACCCTTAAATAACTCAAAATCAAAAACATCTTCCTTCCATTTGCTCAGCTCCCCCTGCCTACGTTGGCTAGCAATGGATGACTCTCTCCTCTATATTTTGTCTTCAGTAGATGCGGCAGGATGTCAATGCCTCTTTTCAGGTCTCGCACATTTGAGGAAAAAGTACCTGAGCTGACAAGCTGGTCTAGCTTGTGATTAACCCCCATCAATCCTCAGTGCCCTCTACTCTGCGAAAAAAGCAACAGGGTGGAATGCCAGAAAAGAAAGACCTGTTGCCCCCAAAGCCATAACTGGGAGAAACTGTGCAGTCACTGCAAACAGGAGAGAGATTTCATGGTAAATCACTGGGAGGAGCCCCAAGACTCAGAAGGGTCATCTCCCGCACAACCCAAGCCTAGCCCTCAGCACCACGAAGACACATCACACACGCTAGTTTCTTTCGATTTTCGCCATATTGCTCCCTTAGTCCATCTTATGCACCTGACCTCACAAGTCTCTCGCTGTTTTCTTTATCCTATCTGCACTTGTCATGGTTTTAACCTCTCCCTCCCAGGGCTTCTTCTATGTCTCCAAGCTTCTCTTTTCTTGCACCACCACTACAGGTGACAATGGCCCCATCGCTTTAATGTCAACGAAACTTGCACGTCTCAACTTCTTTTTGTTACCTGGTGCGTTGGTTTGTTTTTGTTTTGTTTCATTTAGGTTTGGGTTTTTGAGATGCCATCCTTTCCAGGTGACCAACGCATATCTGAAACTCCAGGAGTCTTCCTGCTTCCACTTCTCAAGGTCTAGGATTACACGCAGGTATCACACAGTTTCATTTACTTATGTTGTTTTGGAGATGCTGGGAGCGCCTTTGTGTTAGGCAGATATTTCTTTGCATTAGTGTCCTATCCCACTTAGCTTCCACATCCCTTCACATCCTGGAAACGCTTCTCAGCATCATCACCACTAGCTGGGGCCACGCTTGAGCTCCTGAGAGCCACTCAATAAATGCTTCCTAAGTGAACATGAATGAGGCTGCGCAAACGGGGTGAATGAAATGATCCCCATTAAAGTGATTCATTAGTTACCACCATCAACCACAACAACAATGCCCCCCCCCAACAGCACAAACATCCTGCTAACAGTCATAGCCCCTGAGACTCAAAGCAAATGCGGGGTGGGGCATGGGATTCACGAGTAGTGGGGACTCTATGCCACCATGGAAACTTCCTGAAGGAGTACCCCACCAGGGCTTGATGTGTAACTACCCTGCAAGCTTCACACCAGTTCTTGGATGTGGGCAGCAAACACCTACCTAGCAAAACTGGAGCTGGCAGGGTGATCGAGAGACGTGTCTCTGACAAGGTAGGATATATGATGAACACTTCTGCCTAGGCATCTGGACCTGTATGAGCATCTTAACGTAGGAAAAATAACAAAAAGTGAAGTGGAATTTGGAATTCCACGTGGAGGCGCCACTTAAACTTCTCTCGCTAGCCCTGGCCATCTCCACCCGTACAATGGAATCACAGCACTCTCTCTACCTTAGAGTTTCCCTGAGGATAGAATTTGGAGGCAGGGAGAAGCACTTACTACAATAGTCTGCACTCAGTAAGGGCTCAACAAATACTGATGCTATTTTACTGTTCATTCTTGCTGTGAGGATCAAGAGATGAAACGCAGCATGAATCTATGTCAGCCTATCAAGTCCCTAGTCCTGAGCTGTGGAGACAAAACCTCTAGCACTGGTGCCCTTGCAGCTCCTGAACCTTGGTGACGTGAAAAGCTCCAGCTTTGGTCCCGGAAGTTTCCACCAGAATGCCCTGGGGCCCTAGACCGCTCTGGGGAGAGGCGGGAGGTGCAGGGGAGGACAGCTAGAGAGAAACGGGGACCTACCTGCTCTCACTGCACTCCTTCCGCTCCCTCACCCGCAGCCACTTGCGGAGCAGGAAGCGCTTTCGGCGCGGGGACGCGCTGGGTGTGGAGCAGTTGGACCACGGGGTGTCCTCGTCGCTTGAGGGCGTAATCTCAATGGACGGCAGCTGCAGGAACTCCTTGCCCGGGGCCAGGACGCCGGGTAGATCTGGGGTTACCAGTCCACCTTCCAGGCTCTGCTCTTGCACGTTCTTCATTCGGCGCATCTTAAAGCGCCGGCGGCGGAGCGTGGGGGTGGACGAACTGGACCACACCGCGCTGCCCTCGGGCGCGCCCTGCGGCTCGGGCACCTGCAGAGCGGGCAGCTGCAGGTTCTCCATCATGTTAGCTGCCGGCATCGGGGTCCCTGGCCGCTGCCCGGTGCCCTCCACCTGAAGCCTGGCTCGCGGCTCCCACTCGCGGCTCCCCACTCCGGGGCCGGTGGCACTATCCGCTCTCACGTTCAGCTAGCAGCTCGAGCCTGCCAGTAGCTCAAGTTCCTTTTCCTGGAGCGCCGCGAGGAGGGGACTGTTGGGGACGCCGCCTCCTGCGGTCTAGAACTTTTCGGAGCGCGCTTCCTCACGCAGTCCGCAGCGGGAGAGGCGACCCCGGGCGTAGCGGCTGTCTCCTGCCAAGCCTCGCCACCCGGCTGCCCTCCTGGGGCTTCCCTCACGCGCCCGCGTGTTTGTCTTCCGCTGCGCTGGCTCGCTCTGCCGGCTTCTCTGCCTTAGCGGGACTCGGCGGCCCCGGGCCCCAAGGGGCTGTGCAGCAAACTCTCAGTGGTTTGTGTTCAGCAGACCGCGTTGGGGAGCCGGCTTGGCGCTGCAGGAGCGTGGAGGGCTGGAAGAGGCAGTGGTAGGAGGGAGAGGAAAAAGAGAAAGAGCAAGGGAGACACTAGATAAAAGCAAAAAAAGGTGGAGGAGGTGGAGCTGGGGGTTGAGGCGGGAGTGGGTTGCTATCCTGAAAGGACACGCACGCACAGACAGCGACAGCCGTGTAACTGTACAAGGAATCCCTTGGGGAGGGACTCTACCTCCGAGTCAAGGCTGCTCCAATCAGCCTAATGAAATAAGAGCACGATCCAAACTTTCTCAGGGCAACGATTGGCCGAGCAGTTCTGGTTAGCAAACTCCCTGCTCCCCCCCCCCCCCGCCCTCAGGGGTGGGGGGAGGAGAATCAATTGATTCAGCCCACACTCTCAGACCACCCAAGATACAGGGTTGAGGGAAAACTAGGGGACTTTTCAGCGGAATATCTCTCTCTCTCTCTCTCTCTCTCTCTCTCTCTCTCTTCTCCTAAGAAACGTGTATTCTTTGAGTCATTTGGAGGGCTGACGGGGAACACTGGGTATAGTCAGAAGGACAAAGGAAGGTTCCTGAAGGCTGCTTCCAAAATGGCAAGCTGGGAGGAAAAAACGGTTCTGTAGAATGAGCTGAGGACACTACACGTGACACAAAGGACAGATAGACCGACTGGATGAAAAGACACAGGACACACGGAACCAGTAAGGAAAAGAGTCTGCCCCTGCACATGGTGTGTGACCCTGCCAAAACCATACCTTCATTCTAAGGAGAGGAGGGAGAGTGAAGTCAGACAGCAGCCTCTCAGAAACCCCAGAGTCAACATTCTAAAACTTTCTGATGCTGCTTCAGACTGCGGGGAGCATGGGCTGGCTCACAAAGTCTACTGTGGCTGAGGGACTCTGAACTCAGAAATATGAAATAATCCCTCTAGTGTATCAGTGTTTTACGCCCCCCCTCCCCCCCGCCGTTCCCCAGAGGCAGGTGTACCCTAAGAGAAGGGGGTAGAAGTGATCTGCTCTGGGAAGACATTCTTGGTGGGACTGAGCCCAACCTGCTGGACTATAGGCAAGAAATTTTCCTCTTCAGTGGCAGACCAAAAGGAACAACAAAGACCCCACTATAAGGTGTACAATTGACCTGTTCTCTTAGCTGCCATTTGTCAGTACAGTTTCCCTTGGAGGGAGGGATAAAAATCACATCCCTAAAGGTCATAAGAATTCACTGCAAAATAGAGTATATCCCTACAGATCAGGAAGACATCTGAGGTAACAGCTGGACATGTATCAGACCATCATGTCCTGCAATGGCACATGGGGGGAGCTTGAGACGTCCTGACATTACACAACGTCCTTGAGGCTGAGAAAAAGAGGAAGTGCATCTGGCTGACTAGCCAGGGCCGGGTGCACACTTCTGACCACTCTTCTGACCCTTCGTATCCGGCTGCTGGCTTGCACAGGCATGATTTGGTATCCCTCTATTTTAACTCCTGCTCACAGTGGAGAAAGGAGACACCCCTTTCCATCAGGTGTCAGACCTGGCAAAGAGCAAGACAGCTCTTCTGGCTAAGAGCAGGAGCCTAGACTGGGACTCTTTGGAATCAACCAACGCTCTACGTAGTTTGTTCGCTGTCTTGGATCTCCTCCATGGAGGACCACTTTGTAGAGGATAGACAGCTTCCCAGTTCAGAGAACTTGCCTGTTAGATGGACTGTTTTTTTATTTATTTTTTAAATTACATTAAAAATAATACCAATCAAAATTCCCACTTCCTCCCCTACTCCCACTTTCTCTCCTATTCCCCCACCCCTCCCCCAGTCCTAAGAGAGGGCAAGGCACCCTGCCCTTGTGGGAAGTCCAAGGCCCTCCACACCACATCCAGGCTGAGCAAGGTATGCATCCAAACCCAGACCCAAAATTATGAATATGGTATGTACTGACTCATTAGTGGATTCTAGCCATAAACAAAGGACATTGAGCCTATAGTTCACGATCCTAGAGAAGCTAAGTAATAAGGTGAACCCAAAGAAAAACATATATTTTTTAGATGGACTGTTGATATACAGGAGCAGTCTCTGTGCTTAAGGGAAGCAGGACACTGCCATTCATTTGGAGCCCCCAAAAATTTAACAGATAATTTGAAGAAAGAAAGGGTACACCACAATACCACAACACACACACAGACACACACTGTCATAAACCTTCTGAATTTTAATGCATTGCTCTCAAAATGAAGAAGAGCCTCCAACTTCCTCCTCCCATGCACCTCCGTCAGGTATCCCACAAGAGAGCCTAGACCTAAAATCCTCTGAGGTTTCAAGCAAGCTTTGGGCACAGCAGTGGTTGAGAAGAATTGCTTACATTTCACCTGACCTGAGGGAAAACCTCTGCCAGACCAAAGCTAAAAGGTTCTCACTTGCAAAGGAGCAGATACCCAAAGCATCCCCCTTGCCCCTGACCTTGTCGGCCACTCCCTTCCACCTGTAGCCTCTTCTTTCCTTATCCTCTTCACCCATCAAACCCCCAATCAAAATTAGGAGTTCAAGTTCATTCTCACTTACACAGCAAGTCTGAGGTTATCCTGAGCTAGAAGGACCTTATCACAGAACAAAACAAAGCTAACTAACAAAAATAAAGCCAGACCTCACACCCTCAGACCCTGCAACTGTCTCTGCTTACTTTGAAACACAGATAGTTGCAATTGTCAGCAGTTGTCCCCTCTAAGATCCCCGAGAAAGAGCCAATTGTTTCTCCCTTTGAATATTTCCAATATGCTTTTTATTTGTATGTGACCTTTAGACTTTGCAAAAAATGTTCTCATACATCACATTGCGTCGTCCAAGTGACCTTAGGACTGACGTAACAGAAGTTACTACCCTCTTCTTGCAATCATTAATATGGAGCAGGCTGCAGAAACTTATTCAAGGACTCCCATGAATGACAATGACTAATATAACAAGGCCAGAATCAGGCCTTCAGAAACCAGCGTAGAGGCCAGCAAAATCATCTAATGGGCACTGACTCAAGAAAGCAGTGCCCTGGTCGTTCCAGACTGTAGCTATTCAGTTCCAACAGCTGTTTTTACAAATAGGCAAAAAAGAAGCACAAATCTGGAGGGAGGTCAGTTTCCGAAAGCAGCTGATGGAGGTTGTCATAGCCAAAAAATACCCACAACTCCTTTTTAGACTTGCATCCTCTCCTCTCCACATTTCCTCTCTCTCTCTCTCTCTCTCTCTCTCTCTCTCTCTCTCTCTTTCCCTCTCTCCTCTCTCCCCTATTGGCTCTAAATACCACCTCAGTTCTCTGGGAAACTGACCTCGTGTGTGTGTGTGAGTGTGTGTGTGTGTGTGTGTGTGTGTGTGTGTGTGTGTGTTGGGGGGGATGCTGCAGACAGGTGGTGTCCGGAATGTTCCAACCCCCAACTTCCAACCCCACATCTAGGCCTCCCAGTTTAAATGAATGGATCTCATGTTACCAAGTGGCTGTTGTTTATTCTCAGCCGTACAGGCTCTCGCTTCCTGTCGACACAAGACACCCAGCACCTGTCTATGACTTCTGGAGACCTGCAATGGCATAAGTCTATTCTCCGGAAAACTTAACTAACAGCTTTGAGAACAGATGTCTCCTGAGTACACACTTAGACAGAGCACGCTGCGAAAGGTGCAGTCATGCCCTAACCCAATGGACAGAGACTGTGTTCCACGCAGCGTCCGTCCAAGTGCATGGGCAAGAGCAGACTAGAAATCCGTGAATGGAGTTTGTGGCTTGCAGGAAAGCTGGAGGTGGGGACAGAAATGTAGCAGATGCTGCGACAAGAATGGGCAGATACTCTCCTCTAGTCTCTTTTTTACTGAAAGACTGTGCAAAGGACAGTGTGGGGAACTCACGTTCAATGACAAACGTGTGCCCAGGGTTAAGACTGGTTAGCGACTGGAATGCATGGCCAAGCCCAGTTAGGAATGGCTTTCTCTTTAGGCTTTTAAAAGGTAAATGGAGCCTAGTTTGAGCAGTGGAAGAAAAGAGATTATCTTTGTTTTTTTAAGAGATTATCTTTTAAAGGCCCGTATTCATCCTACCAGTGTGCGGATCTAAGGCTCAGGTTTTCCACTTTAAAACAAAAGCAATTTGGCAGGCACTTGGCTCATTCCTGTAATCTCAGCACCAGGGAAGCTGAGACAGGAAGCTTCAAAATGCAGGTCCAGTCTGAGCTAAATAGCAAGACCCTATCTCAGGAATTAATGGATTAAAAGATTTGGTTTATGCCCCCAACAAAAACTGGTCCGAAATGACTGCTCTTGGTTGCAGACGCTTTGATCTCTGACCTTACTGCGGCCCACAAACTGCTTTACCACCTCACACAGAAAGTTAGAAACATAGAGACGGTCACTAGGGTAACAGTGAGGCAGGGAACAAGGCGTAGAGAGGATGGGATAAGAGAACAAATGAAGAAAGTCCCTTGAATCCGCCTTTTCTATATATCTTCTGAGGTTCCTCTTCACTCCCCCAACTGCTTAGAGGAGCTAACCACTTAGGAAGCCTAAGAAGAGAGCTTCTGAGATGGCTCAGTGTGTGAAGTTGCACTCCAGCAAAGCTGAACTCCTGAGTTCTAACCCCGGGACCTACATGGTAAGAGATAACCTACTCCTGCAAGCTAACTCCTGACAGCCAAGTAGACCACAAATATGCAAGCATTCACACACACACACACACACACACACACACACACACACACACGAATAAACAAACACTTTCTGTTTTTTTTTTTAACAGTCGTAAAGAACCATGTTAAATTTGTGTGTCTTGGGAAGCAAGATAGAATAGGAAGTCAGCTCTAGCTAAATGCAATCTAAAGAAAGCACAGCTGACCAACCACCACATCCAACTCCTCCCGAGGATAAAGAGCCTTGACAGACAGTCTCTTCCGGAGAACAGAGCCTTGGAGAGCGCTCTCAGCCTTGGGCAGTGTACAAATTTGGCAGAGGCTTGCTTCCATCAGCCTTCACAGGCACAAGAGTGATCTCTAACGTCACCTGGTCATCCT